GCTGCCGACAGCTGGCTCAGGGTCATGCTGCAGCGTCAGAGCTGCCGACAGCTGGCTCAGGGTCATGCTGCAGCGTCAGAGCTGCCGACAGCTGGTTCAGGGTCATGCTGCAGTGTCAGAGCTGCCGACAGCTGGCTCAGGGTCATGCTGTTGACATACCCGTATGTTACTTGTCCTGTTAGCAAACTAAGGAGAGAGGAGGCACACGAAGGAGAACAGCTCACAGGATGGTTATTTATTTCAGTCACAATAACTACTATTCAAAACAGCCTGGAAAGTTGACTTTTGATGTTAGATATGAAATGGAATCACAAACAATCCTATGATTTTGCTGTTTTTGTGTGCTGTAATTCAACTTTATATATAAGTTTTCTTAAGCAAATTGAAGGTTGAAGTTCTCCATGTTTAACCAACTAAATTAAAATAATTTTTGTTTTAAGGTTTTCTACAATAAAAGCAAATTTGTTCCACAATTCAAAGGTAACTCAATTATCCATGAAACTGAATACAAAAGGAATTTCAAGGGTTTATCTCCGATGAAAGAACCAAAATCAAGAAATGCTTTGAGAGAAAACAGAAATCTTGAAACCATATCTCCTGAAAAAAAGGTATTCATCAACTCTTAACCTTCAGTAAAACAAAATCCCCATGATTTTAGATTTTACACATTTACTTACCACCATCGGAGTTTGTTTTTTTTTGTTTTTTTAGCTAGTTTATTCATTTGTTCATCAAATGTTCACTCAGCCACCTGCTAGAAGCAGGCACAGGATGGGTCTGAGGGCACAAAGCTGGCAGACAGGCCGAGTCCCAGTGGCTTTTGGGCGAGTGGGAGACAGGTGTATAAATGTGTACAGATAATCCAGTGTGATGGGTACTTGTCGATAGAGCAGGTAAGTCTGTTGGGTCTAATGTCACATAGCCTTACAGTAGTGCCAACTCCAGGGGTACCAGTAGTGATAGAAACACTTTGATTAATGGAAATTCAACATACATGTGAGCACATACCCCTGTATTTAAACCAAAGCTGCATGCCAGGTGATAGCCAGTATAACCCACATGACTTACCTTGGGATACACAGACAGCCACTTCTCTGTGAAATTCTTGCCATTTAAGTTGCAGCAAATGATTGTAAATTGTAGATAAATGGGGTATAAATACTATTTTTAAATCTCCTGGAATGTTGATACCTGATACTTTATGGGTCTTAAAATAGAAAGTAAAATGATCTGTATATAAATGCATATCTCAGGCCGATGACATTCTCGGGGACAAAAATGTTGCTAAGTTATTTAGTAAAGCAACATGGTAACTTACTCATCTTACGTATGTTTAATTATGTAGCACAATTAAATACAAATTTAAAGCACAAAAAGCAAATGTAAGATCACTGTTCAGTTTATAGTTACGTGATTTATTTAGATGTGTATTTGTGAATTTTTAAATTTTCTTCTCTAGCTAAGGTTCTAAAATTTTTACTGTTAGAAAATAAAACTATATCCTGAATTATATTTCAAAAAAAAACTAAGCAGTTATACTGGTTTTAAAACTTGCTTTTGATTTCTTGTGATTTCTATTCTTTTGTAGTTAAAGTGTCTAAAAACAGAAATTAATACAATATTCAAGTCTAACTTGGTAACATCTCTGTGTTCACTTTAATGCATATTTTAAGCATAAAAAACTTAAGTTATTTCCACTCTAGTGTGATAAAACAGACGATCCTATACAATTAGAAGAAGAGATGGAATTAAAAGACTCAAACCAGCCTAAAAAGAAGCTCACTCCTTGGAAACATCAACGGCTTGGGTATGTGTTTTAATGGGAATATATCATGGTAGTTAGATGTTAGGTAGTTCAACATGATGAAATATTTACTTTCATTTCGTTTCTATTAGGAAGGTGAATTCTGAATATAGAGCAAAGTTTCTGAGCCCAGCTCAATATTTATATAAAGCTGGGGTTTGGACACGTGTGAAGGAAAATATGCCAAATCAGGTGAGTTTTGCTCGATAAACCACAGTTTCTTTTAACCTGTGTAGCAATTTAATTTCACAATGAGTTTCATTTAGTAATAGAGACCACGGTTTAAAGAAATATAATCCAGTAATAGCACTAAAAATACCAAGAAGTGAAAGTTGTTATGTATTAGAAATAATTTATAAGTGTGTTTATTATTTGTGCCACTGGTTCCTTAGAGATTAATATTGATTATTAATTATTAGAGTTTTTACAATTAAAAAATTTCTTATTACCAAACATTTGATTGTGCTAATAACTCAACTTATAGAATTATATCTTTATAGATTTGATTATTTTATAACCTCTGTACTCTCAATTGATTGTTAATTTTCAAGATTAAATAATTTGACAGTGGCACCTGCTGTCAGTGTGTGCCTAGCCTGTGCTGTGAGAGGCCTGAATTCTGTCTAGTGTTGGGGTGCCCTGACACAGGGGAGAAACTAGGGATTAAAGGTTTGAGGAAGAAGGTGATTCCAGAGTTGAGAAGTGCTGCTGTACTACTAGCTTCTCATAGTCAAAAGATAAACATTTTGGTTTTATTGTACAATTAGTGTCTTCTAAACTATATTTTGATAGGTTTTTGCCTTTTCTGTGAGAACGAACTAAATTAAAACATTTCTGTTTAGATCAGACATTGATACACATCCCATGTCCCCCATTATTGTAAATGGAGCTCCCAGTGACCTCAAATTTTGGGGCTCAAGTGATCCTCTTGCCTCAGCCTCCATAGAGCTGGGACCGCAGGTGATTGATGCAATGCCTGGCTAGTTTTTTCTATTTTTAGTAGAGATGGGGTCTCAGGGCCTGTGTCAAACTCCTGAGCTCAAGCCATCCACCTGCCTTGTCCTAGAGAGCTAGAATTACAGATATGAGCCACCACGCTTGGCCTTAGAGGATTGTTTTTCTAATAATAGTTAGCAATTGTGATTTTTAGATCCTATCCTCAGAATAATTACTGAATCTGTAAAATTTCTTTCTTTTTCTTGATTGTTAGGTAATCTCAATCATCTAAACTACATTGGTTAAGATAATTTTATTGTAATGTGTCTTCCAAAAATAGGCCTATGTTTCAGGATAAAGTCCCACATAGGAGAGAGATATTGTGAAGACTGAGGATAAAGTGACTGCTCCTTTAAGGGGGTGATTTTTAGGTTAAAAGGTATTTTTATTTTTATCTCTAGTTTTCTGAGTTTAATTTTCTTCATGTAAGTATTAAACAATTCAGTTTAATTCTTAATTTGGGAAAGGAAGTTTAGACATGCAAAACATTCTACTTACAGAGTTTATATCATGTAAGCTGATAGTGTTACTTGCCCAGGAAGGGATGTGTGTGTGTTCTGAGCTGGCAATGGTTCATTCCTACCCTTTTCAGTGGCTCTGGTTATTGGTGGTAGGGATTGTTTGTTTGTTTGTTTGTAGAGACAGAGTCTTATTTTGTCGCCCTCAGTAGAGTGCTGTCGTATCACAGCTCACAGCAACCTCCAACTCTTGGGCTTAGGCGATTCTCTCCCCTCACCCTCCTGAGTAGCTGGGACCACAGGTGCCCGCCACAATGCCCGACCATTTTCTTTTTTTTTTTTAGAGGCAGTTTCATTTTGTTGCCCTTAGTACCGTAGTGTCACAGCTCACGGCAACCTCTAGCTCTTGGGCTTAAGCAATTCTCTTGCCTCAGTCTCCTGAGTAGCTGGGACTATGGGTGCCTGCCACAACGCCTGGGTATTTTTTTTGTTGCAATTTGGCCTGGGCCGGGTTTTAACCCACCACCCTCGGTATATGGGGCTGGCACCCTACTCACTGAGCCATAGGTGCCACCCGGGATTATTTTTTAATATTGAGTTCACACTGTTGATTGTTTTCTGTTTCTAGTATGATAAAACATACTACTTTGGAAATGTCAGCCTCCTAATTTTTTATCTTAGTTTAGGATTATAGAAATTTTAAATTATATATTTGTAAAATACAAGATAAGTACTAAGATTATTAAAAGTTGCTGATAAAGTGAGTTTAAACCATTTAGTTTTAAATATCAGTAACAAAACTGAATAAACTGAAGTTTACAGAATTTCTGTGAAGTCTCACCCTGCTTTTTAAATAAAATTGATAACGAGTAAAACTGGATAACTGTGTACCTGGGGGAGATAGTGGTCTGTCCTCTGTCCATCAGATGTGGGCAAAATGTGCCAGTACGCTGCTCCTCCTGCCTGCCCGATACACCTGCAGGCTTGAGAGGACCCCTCTGAACTACTTGCGTTTATATTTCATTTGTTTATTATGGCAGAGGCCACATCAATACTGTAATCCTTTGTGTAGCAGTCAGCCTCCTCCGTTAGACTGTGAGCTCACTGCGTGCAGGGAGTTCTTGTTTACCTTTGGCCGCCATATCTAGCTCAGGCTGCGTTTTGCCTCACCTCAGGAGCTCGTGGCTTAGTGGAGGAGGAGGCTGTGAGAGGAGATTGATACACATCAATGTCTGATCTAGGAGGCTCATAGAATGGAATAGTGTCGATGGGACTGTGCACAAAGGGCTTTGAGCATATAGGAGGAAGGACGCTGAGCCTTCTAGAGACGGAGTGGCCATGAGACATAGGAAACACGGGGCACTCCTTAACTGTTTCAAGACATTTTGTGATAAGGTTTTTGTGCACTCATAATAAATACCCTGTTCAGAATTTCAACAGACCTAACCCATGTGCTCCAGTTCTATCCATTAAATGCAAAAGCCTCTGCTAGTGATTTTATTTAAAGTTATAAGAGTTGATAGAAATTATAAATGAGCATAGCTTACTTTTTTTGGCAGAGAAGAAAACACTATTTCAAATCAAGCTTTGGGAATTTTCCCAGATTTGGTTCATGGGAGCAGTGAACCAATGCCAGGACCGTGAGGCTCCTTTTGCTGTGATAGGTGCTGTGTTTTGCTTTGGCTGATTTCCTAGAGATGAAGCCTTTCATCCTTGCATTCAAACAGTGTCTTGTTAAGGAGCTGAGAATATATTTCTCCAATTGCTTTTGCATTGTTGTGTTTCAGTTGCCTTTTTTACCCTTTAAGTGAAAGGAAGACACTTCTACCAGACAGTATCCTGATCTTCTTTTAATGTTAATATTGTATCCTTGTGATAAAAAAGTTTTTCTAGAATAAAGACTTTAAACAGAATTTTAAACTTAATTTCTTTTTACATTTAGAGAAACCAGCAGGTGGCAGTATGACATATAAAATGAAAGGGCTTCAAAGGGGTATGAAGACTCCTTTTCATGTGAAGGTGTTACTTGCGTATTAGGGAATTCAGATCACTTAATAGTTGATTAGAACTTTTCTTAATCTTGTCACTTTGTTGACGATACTACAATTACTTTGTGGGAGATACTCTTTAATTATATATTTAGTACATTTTTGAAAAGTTGAAGTTTTGCTGACTCCAAGGGAATGTTGAAGAATTTGGAGAGGGACACCTCAGAGGTCTCTCAGAAGGGGCTTCTGTAGCAGCAGCAGCTGTGTGTAAAGCTGCTCCCCCAGAGGCGGGAGTGTGTAAAGCTGCTCCCCCAGAGGCGGGAGTGGGAACAGCACTTAGATTCAGATCATCGACAGCATCCTAGCCATCTAAGAATGGGGCTGATTTTAAGAAAATCGTGGTTACTGAATTAAATACTACTAAAAATACTAAGAAATATTGATTGAAAACATATACAAGTTTAGTATATGCTTAGAAGGGGGAATATAAAGTATTTCATTGATTTCCATTAATATTCAATTAATGGCATTAACCTGTCATTAAGTGTGTTTCTGTATTCCTTCCCTAGGGTTCTCTAAATGCCGTGTGGTATGCGGAGGTTGGTTGCTTTTGAGTTATTAAAAACCCTAATAATGCATAAGTACTTTTGTAATTTTAGTTGGAGTGAAAAGCAGGTGTCATTATTTTTCTTAGCTGCTATGAATTTCTTACTGCCTGCTGGTCTGAAATAAAATAACCACATCGTGCTTTAGCTTGATTGTTTTCATTTCTGCTTAAACGCACATAGTCTGGTGACTGTACGCCGCTACTTTGCCTGTTGTTCCCGTGGTCCCTGTCTGTATCTGTGCAGTGTTTGTGACATGCTACTTGGTGATGTTTGTGAAGGAGCATTTATAGTAACGGATGACATTCGCTCTCGCACAGGTTAAAGAACTGAGAGAGAAGGCTGAGTTTTATAGGAAACGCGTTCAGGGAACGCATTTTTCTCGGGACCATCTGAATCAGATTCTGTCTGATAACAACCGCTGTTGGGATGTCTCCTCAACAACAAGCTCAGAAGGAACCATTAGTAGCAACATCAGAGCTTTAGATCTTGCTGGGTGAGATTTTATTTGTGGATGTTTGTATAAAAGTATTGTGGCTTGGCTAGATCATAGCATGACATGAGGAGGTGACTTGAGCACTCAGAATTTTCCCCTAGTCAAGTGGAGATGTGCCAGACATTATTTCATTATTTGTAGTTTATTCTCCATGAAAAATAAAACAAATACTTGCTTTATGTATTTGGGTATAAATAATACATAATATAAATCTGGAAGGGCTGAGTTTATAATATTTCTTTGTTCCCAACAGTATGATAGGGATGATTGTGTGATTATATATAAGAATTTTAAAAAGTTCAAAAAAATCCACAACCATAAAAACTCAGAGAATATCAGTTATTAGTCCATCCATATCTATTATCATTATTAATGGATTTTGTGACAGATACAGAGTCTGGCCCCTGTTTTGGGTTTTAAAATGAACATGATTTAATGGTTTGTAAGAGTTTCTAGCAAGTAAAATAGTGTTTACTTGTGACAGTACATTAATACCACATCTAGGCAGTATAAATTCTAATTATGTTTATTATAAATCATTACAAATCTGTTCTTTAATAATGTGCTTAAAAGATGACTCTAAAGTATCAAACTTGAATCAGCTTATTTGACTACAGATGCACTTGTGTTTTTGCACAAATGTTAGCTGAGTAATTGCACAAGTTGGGCCTTGGCTTATGTGTGTAAAGCCAGTTAGTTGAGGGGTGGTTCTATCAGCAGAGGGACAGGCACATATGTAAAAGGGGGAGTAAGAGAAGATAAACAAATTTGATTTGGGATATTTTAATAGAAACTTCAGATTGTAACTTTTGTTTGCTATGTGTTACTAATAGAAAATGAACTCTCAGTTGATCTCTTTGTTCATTACCTGGGCAAGGCAGGATCTGAGGAAAATGCATGGAATAGTCAACTGTGGGAGGAAATGATAGACTTCCTATGATTAGTATAAACTAGAAAATGCAAACTACTCAAATTTAAAATAAAATTTGCTTTGTTATGCAGAGATACTACAAGCCATAAGATTTTACAGAAATGTCCTCCGACAAAACTAGAAGAAAAAAAACATTTCTTGGAAGAAGAGCCCCAGAAAACTCCCATGGAGAAAGTGGGTATGTCAGATGTGCCCACTGCACCTGTCCGAAGGCGGCTGGCTTGGGATGCAGAGAATGCCGGGGAGGACCTGCAGACACAGCCCAGAGAGGAAGAGGAGGAGCAGGATGGGGAGAGGGACAAGCAGGCGTCTGTAGGAGAGCCGGAGGACTCGAAGGCAGATGAGTCAAAAGAAGGGTGAGAGCTCGGGGCTACTCAGTGTGGAGGAGCATTGTTTTGTATTTTGTTTTGTCTCTAAGGATAGTGGTTTACACTTTTGGTTCATGACTAATAAAGAGCAGATTTCAGTTCAGTGCCACAAAGTGGGCATTGCTGGCTGGCTCTGTTCACTCAGGTGTTTATTGCTGAGGGTAACTGAGCAGGAGAGCACTGATGGGGCTGCTGTGGGAGGAAGTTAGGATTGTTTTGATTTGTGTCTGATAATTACAATTTGTCAGATTTGCAAACGTGCCTGAGAGAATGACTTTCTTTATGTTTAGAGGGAAAAAAACCGGTATTCTTTAATATCAGATGATTCTACCAAAAAAGAAAGGAAAGAATGTTTTCTAATATTTTTTTAAAAAAGATTTCCCTATTGCTCTGTGTGCAGACTGCTTCAGGGAGTGGGTCTTTCCTCCCACCAGTCATGGTGCTCTCCTTATACAGACCAGAGCCTGTGCGTGGGGCTGCGGGTCGGGTCGGTCTCTGTAGGACACTGCTCAGGGCTGCTCACTCCACTGAGTTTCCTCCTCCTCAGGGTTCACTCTTCACTGGATGGTGGTGGTTTCTTCAGAAACAAAATTGCTTTCTCTTTTAAGCTTTATTCTTTATTATTGCACAGTGAAAGTATTTTTAATCAAATTTTTTGGGGAAATGTTTCATAATAGATTGTTTCAATTTGTAGGTCGGATTCATCTTCTGTTTCCTCAGGAAAAGGAGGTAGGCTTCCTACTCCAAAGCTGAGAGAACTTGGTGGAATCCAGAGGACACATCACGATCTTACTACTCCAGCTGTTGGTAATAGGCAATCACTGTGCCATTCTTATTTAACTTGCTTTTTTCTACATGATAATTTTGTTTAATTGAAGCTGGGCTGGCCTGGTGAGGTGGCTGATGCCTGTAATCCCAGTGCTTTGGGAGGCTGAGGCAGGAGCATCACTTGAGGACAGGGATTTGAGACCAGTCTGGGCAACATAGCAAAACCTCATCTCTACAAAAAATAAGAAAATGAGCCAGGCATGGTGGCTTATGGCTATAGTCCCAGCTGCTCTGAAGACTGAGGCAGGAGGATAGCTTGAACCTATGAGTTCAAGGCTGCAGTGAGCCATGTATGATTGGGCCACTGCCCTCCAGCATCATCAACAGAGCGAGACCCAGTCTCTAAAACAGGTGTCCCTAAACTATGGCCTGCGGGCCACATGTGGCCCACCGAGGACATTTATCCGGCCCACTGGGTGTTTTTGCTGCCGCTGCCTGTCCTGCTTAGCAGCTGACTTGTCCTGGGGCCTGCAGTCTGGCCCTCCAACGGTCTGAGAGACAGTGAACTGGCCCCCTGTTTAAAAAGTTCGAGGACCCCTGCTCTAAAACAGAAAAAAGAAAAAACAACCGTCATCTTCTGCCTTTTTCCAGGTGGTGCTGTTTTAGTGTCTCCATCTAAGGTGAAGCTTCCAGCCCCAGAAGAGAAGAAAAGGATATCCTCTCAGGATTGTTTAGAAACTCCAAAGAGTGATTTCACAAAGGTAAATGTTTCTATTTTGGGGGGAAAGCATCTTTTCTGGAACTGATTATTTTGATCAATGAAATAAATGAATTTCATTTTAGATTTCAGATTTTAGAAAATTCTGTCCACCTGCTATTAGTAAGGCAGAGGCTTGAATTTTTTTCCTGGCAGTGGCATTGCATTTCTGTGCTGTACTTTCAGATCTTTTCAGTGCTGACCCCACAGGAAGAGAGAGAAGATGAACAACCCTGTCTCCTGAGCACCTGCTGCGTAGAGTCTGCGTCCCGGCTCTGATCTGGGTCCTGCTCTAGCGCTGTACATGCTGCAGTGGACAGAGCAGACCAGGCCATGGCCCCCCGACATACGTCCCAGTGGGGGCAGATGGTGACCAGACAGCTAGGGAACACCTGGTGTTTCAGGTGGTAGTGAGTGCCAAGCAGAAAAGGAAGCAGGGAAGGTGAATAGGGAATGGCCATGGAAGTCCTCACTGCCAGGGCAGCATTTGGGCAGAACCTTGGGTGGTGGGGAAGCTCCACATGCACGTCTGGGGAGGCAGTGCAGTGAAGGAGAGCAGTGAGCGCCGAGTCTCTGGGGTTGGAGCTGCTGATTCCTGTAGGAACAGCCAGGAGGTCAGTGTAGCTGGAACTGAGAGAGAAGTGCAGTCATTTAATTCGGAGACGTAATGGGTGCTAAATTGTATAGGGTTTTGTATATCAGCAGTGATTTAAATTTTATTCTGAACAAGGTAAGAAGCCATTGGAAGGGCACAGGAGTAACAGGATTTGGCTCAGGTTTCTGCAATGTTATTTTGGCTGCTGCACTGAGAATGGACAGTGGGGAGGAAGAGCAGGGCCCTGAGTCAGTGACACGATCCAGGCAAGAAGTGATGGGCATTTGGGTCAGGTGGTGGCCATGAGGGTCATGTGAGGGCCTGATTCTGGGTTCGTATTGGAAGTGCAGAGACAGAGAGCCAAGGATAACTCAAGATTTTTGGCCTGAGCAATAAGGTTGGAGTTGTCATTTAACTGAGATGGGGAAGATGGCATGAGAGGAAGAGCTCTGTTTCAAACATGTTACATTTGAGACGCTGTTAGACACATGAGCAGTGTGTTGAGAAGGAATTGACTGTGTGGGTTTGGGGTGTAGAGAGTAATGTTGGGCTGCTGGCAAGGAGTTGAGGCTCTTGATGGGTAGGAAGAGTGTTGCTACTGGAAGAGGTTCTGTCACGGGAGTGGGTCCAGATGGACAGGAGCTGTGGGCATGGCTGGTGTTGGGGAGGGCACTGAGCCAGTGAGAGGGGACACCTGGGGGCTGTG